AGTTCATGGTGGATCAAGTCGCTGGATTGGCTGGATTTGTCTACCTAGAAACCGATGCCGAACGGAATGCTCATCTGCAAGCTATGATCAACAAGACGACGACAACATCAAATCGGGTCAAACAGCTCATAACGGAGCGGCTGAGTAAATATGAATTGGCGAATTTCGCTCGTCAGCAGCAATACTTAGAATTCATTCAAGAAGCGACACTGCATGAAGTAATAGATATCATTGGTGGCATTGGAATCGGAAAACGTCGAGAAATAAACAACTAGAATAGTGCTTCTTGGAATATATTCATCAAAATATGAATCATAAATAGTATAGACAATCATGGGACTATACATCTATACACACGTGATGTTCATCCTTTATTCCTTTCAATAAAAGCTTATCCTTGATCAGCTTCCTAGGTTCTCTCTCAACATTCTCGAGCTTTTCTGAACAATCGTCGAACAGCTTTGTTGCTCGACGATCATTGATCGAATAAGTGCAGTAGCAGTTTCGAACGCCCTATGGCTGATTCGTTGTACTGTCTAGTATAAGAAAAACTTGGAAGCATTTTACTTTTTGTGTACTCAAAAAGTGAGTACACTCTAGAATCGGTCAGTGTGTCCGTCCGGCCGTCCGTCTGTCCGTTTACACGATAACTTTTGAGAGGAGAGTCCGATCACGATGAAATTTCCTACACAGTTTAATCTTAACAATGTCTCGGTCGAGTTCGAAGATGAGCATGATCGGCCGAGCCATTCGTGAGTTATTGCAATAATAGTCATTTTTCCCTATGGATTCCTATGCGAAAATCGACCCATCCCAGCTTTCGTAAAAGACTTTTACCATTATAGTCAAATAAAACCCCAACTATTATATACCATTCAATAGAGAATTTCACGAGCTGCAAAATGATATATAAAACATAAAGGAACGAGAAGGCTAACTCACCTATTACAAAGACAATTAAACGGCAATAGGTTCTGTTTTTGCCCATGCTCTAATTGATTCACAAATAGAGCTCTATCTTTCGGTCATCGAGATGATACTTCAAGGTTTTCTGGGGCGGAGAACTCGAATCTGTGCTCCACTTGCCTCGAAATACTATTGGTTGAACAGCGACCAATAGAAATCAAGTTATATAAAAACGACTTTCTTAGAGTAAATCAAGGTGAAGAGTTCAAATCTGAGCTGTATTCGCCCTCAAGTCCTATTGGTTGGACAATAGCCAATAGAAAACAACAGTTTATAGGAAAGTTTCCCCAGTGTAATTTTGATGTCAAGACATTCTAGGATGACTTATCTGTTTAATTCACTTTTTGAAGTACACATAACTCTCGGATTTAAATCCGAAGTTTCCGCATTTATTTTCATTATATGATAGACTGTATGAAAGTGCATTGATAATGGGTGTGGATGTGGGTGTCATTGCTCTCTTTACTCACAACCACACTCACCCACGCCCACACCCACACCCACACCCACACCCACACCCACACCCACACCCACCCACACCCACACCCCACACCCACCCACACCCACACCCATATCAATTTCACATTTTTCATAATGTGACTAATTCTTTTAAAGGTGACATATTTAATAAAGTTCGATGTGTGATAATTACTGATGATATATGCCCTTTTGAACATGAATTATTCCAAATTATCTCACAATCCTTTCCTTTTCTTCAAACGTTATCGATACAGAATGATGAACCACAAAAATATAAAAAATATTCGTTTACATTCATTACATTTCCATATCTTACTGTTCTCAATCTTGAATTGGCACACATTGATTATGTTGAACAATTTCTCTTCGAAAGAAAGACTCGTTTACCTGGTTTGTTACATTTCACAGTTCAATATAAATCATCAGTTATGATAAAAAATAATTTCATCAATAATCCGACACATTTCAATTTTGCACAGTTGAAAACTCTTCTTACAGATCAGTCTTTTGTTCGTCCAGAAAATTTTCATTCATACTTTCCTCGCTTATAAATATTGCTCATGTCATACACGTTTGTAATAAAACGAGAAAATAAAAAGTATTTCACAATCATAATAATCAATGTAGAAATGATTGATTTTCCAGATAATAGTTTATATGAAACGGGAGTAGAATCTGTTGAGTTGATCCCAGACTCGAACTCGAGCTGGTTCGGGTCGGATTTGTGTCTCAAAATTTGCTAACGATCGGGGCCAATCCAACGGCTGGAGCTCGTGATGGTCTTACAATAGATGAATTTCTATATCCTAATTAGCTGGATTTTCTATCAGAATGTGATTATTTGATTCCAAGAAAAAGGACAAGATGCTGTAGTCTATGTTGCTTATCAAGATCCAAATACACTATGTCAAATTTCAGATGTTTATTGAATGTTGTTTTATGACACTAAAAATATGCAAGAAAATATGGTGTGGGTGTGGATGTCGGTGTGGTTGTGTGCGGGTGGTGGGTGGGTGTGAGTGTGGGTATAGATGGGGGTGGGGGTGTGTGTGTGGATGTGGGAATGGCTGTGAGCGAGTGGATGTAGATTTAGATATATCTATACCCACATCCTGCGTTTTTATTTTCAACATATAAATAATCTATGAATATGCATGATTACGTCAAATGTATAAAAGTTGGCTACAAGCGATCAATAGGAAAAAGTAGCTTGCTCAGTAAAGAACATCAGAAAGAAAAATGTAGGTAATATGCACGCAAATAAGAATACGTTTTTTCTGTAATAACATGAGTCAAATTGAATCGATGTGAAATTTTGAAACGAATAAATCTAATTGAATGCGACTGAAGATTTTCTTATTCGTTTTAGTTTCTAGTGTGAGCATGATTTCAAAGAAAAGTCAGATCAAGCCAGTCAGCCGCTTCCACACAGCGACACTTAAACTCACAGTCGCATAACTATAAAGGTAATATGAAATTGAAGGTAATCATTGTCATTTTTTATCATTTTTTGATTAACTTGTGAATAATTTATTTAAAATCAAGCAAAATAAAGAAAAAAAGAAATGTTTTAGGAGTGAAATCGCATCAAAATAACAGTGTTTTTCAAGAAATGTATTTCTTTATATGCGCTTCAGAATACTATGAAATTTCCAGCAATGCATTTTAACGAGATAAACCAATCGACAAAAAGTAATGAAGCAATCTGTATAATAATAGTTGAACTCATTAATATTGTATTTGTTCGAGTAGCTGCTGATGGAGTTGGAACACATCCATAATAGCGCTGAACCTCAAGAATATCAATAGGACTCATACCAATACGTTGTCCAAGTACTGCACTAGCATTTTTCGTAGGTATAATAGTATTTAAGCCATTGAAACTGAAAGCATTCGCTTCATAATGCATAACCGATCCATAATCATATGATGTCATCAAAGTGTCAATATCCTCTATACTATATTTCTCAAAATTGAATCGACTACCTAGTTCAAAATAATTCATAGTGTGAGCATTTATTTTATAAAAGATAATATGAGTTACTATTTATAATATTTTGCCATTGAATGGAAACATACTCATCACGATCAGGACGAGATTGTTCATGGAAAAAACCTGAGATTAAAAATGAAAAGGAGGGGGGGGGGGGTCGTTAAGCACAGAAATTGTCCCTCATGAAAGCGCTTTTTTCCTATTTCAAATCGTCACGTTATACCTTCCAAACTCAAAAAACGTTTGAATTAAGTCTATCGGGCTCAGTTAGTCAAAACATAGGGTTAGAGTTCCCTCCTTGTTCACTATACAGATTTTTAGCCATTTTTGGTCGTTTCTGCCGTCTATGACAAATGTAGACATTTGCATCGACTTTTGAGTCAAGCTAAAACGATATAACTTTTTGAGCTCTACAATTCTAGCTTAGGAATGGCCTAGTGAAAAAAGCGGGTATCAGGATCATATTGGACAAAAACTGGCCGAAAACTGTGGTTTTTCACAATTTTAGCTCGTTTCTGATCTCCGTGACGTAGGGGTACATTTGGATCCAGTCTTGAGTCAAGCTAAAACGATACAGGTTTCTCAGCTCTGCAATTGTGACATAAGAATGGGTAGGGAAAATTTTGCGCATGGTTTGTGGCTTCACGTGGATACTTAGGTTTGCAGTATGGTGCATTACAGAACGGTTTGTACTTTTTCAGTGACACATGATGTTGGATGTGATACGCCTCCTAATTCGATTGTTATGGAATCTTCTGAAAGTTCTGCAGTTTGAAAAGACTATACTGAAGGAGCAATCGGTCTTCCAACTGCTTCTTTAATCAAAATTTTCGCATTTTTCGGAAAAAGTATACCGTCTCTATCACTCTCACAGGCACACAGACACCAATTAGTTGAAAGACTGGCAAAAATCGAGCAAAGGCCGCGAGCTGGCGTAAGAGGCTAAAGGTCGGGGTGCAGCTAAAGGTGAAGCTGAGATTGATGACAAGGCAGGTAAGCAGGGCTTCCCTATATGCACCAGCCTCGTGACTCACGGCAATTATCAGGAACTGTTGACAGTCATCAAGATTCATCGAGAGTCAATTCGAGTCACCTGGAGTCGTTGGACGTCCATGGAAGACATTCAGGTCTGACTTGAAGTTATTAGAAGTAGTGCCGGAAATGTGGATTTCTAACTGGGATGATTTCCACTGACTCATGTCCATTCGCCTGTTCACTCAAGCTGTGCAAGTCAGTGGAACCCTACTTTTCCTGCCTCGAGAATCGATAGGAGTCAGCAGGAGTCGTCCACTCAACAATCTCCTTTCCAGCTTGGGTTGAGACTCTGTGTGAGTACGACGCTATGGTTCGAGCTGAGACTACGAGTATGATGTTGGGGTTACATTGTTGTTCTGATTTCCCAAAAACTCACATTATTCGAATCGAACAAGTCATTCGATAACCCGTTTCTCCGATGGTACGATATTTTCAAGCTTATTGAATACAGATGAAACAGTGGAGTGTTCGCATCGGTCCGCGTCTCATAATATTCTTTCATTTTCGCACTTCAGATCTATTCTTGATTCTATTCGACATATGTGAAGACAGCAACTAGTGTCATGCGCCCGGCAAAATGGATTAAGCAGTTCGTAGTGGATCATACAGCCATCTAAATGTGCATACAGAGAAAATGCAAACCACGCCCAAACATTTCCTACGTATTCTTATGCCACAATTGCAGAGCTCAAAACGTTGTATCGTTTTAGCTTGACTCCAAACTGCACCCAAATGTCTGCATTCAGTACTAAGGCCCGAAGAGACTTAAATTATGGAAAGCTAATGACTTTCGGCTAGTTTTTGTCCAATATGATCCTGATACCCGCTTTTTTCACTAGGCCATTCCTAAGCTAGAATTGTAGAGCTCAAAAAGTTATATCGTTTTAGCTTGACTCAAAAGTCGATGCAAATGTCTACATTTGTCATAGACGGCAGAAACGACCAAAAATGGCTAAAAATCTGTATAGTGAACAAGGAGGGAACTCTAACCCTATGTTTTGACTAACTGGGCCCGATAGACTGGATTCAAACGTTTTTTGAGCTTGGGAGGTATAAAGTGACGATTTGGAATGGGAAAGGAGCGCTTTCATGAGGGAGCCGACTTCTGCGCTTAACGACCCCTTCCTTTATCAAATCAACTTTAATCAGTATTGAATACCTAATACATGAAGAAGTTCGTGTTGAATAATCGCGGTTCTCATACAAGTACGATTAGTTGGCGTATGCATTAAAGTAACCGTTCGATTCAATGTATAATTTTCAAGATATCCAACCTTGAATTAAAAAAAAAATTATTGTTTAAATATTTTCGAACATAAATATTTGTTGTATACGTGAGCTGAACAACCACTTCCATTTTGAATTGTTATAAAAATATAGTCATCAACAGTTTTTGGTCGAAATTGAATGCATAACTTATTTCCCACTCGTGTTATATTTTCCATACGTCGCATAGCATCTTCAATCAATAGTGTATGATTGTGAGCTAAAAATTAATAAATTTCTTGAGAAGAAAAGAAAATATACAAAATTCTAACCAATAGATGATGTCATATCGTAGGGTATGACACCATTAGGCCATCGTTGCCATAATGGTCTACTTGCCGCTCCACGCTTCATATTAGACGAAAGAAATATTTATTATTAATCTATAGAAATTCTTACTAATATATCATCAGGAATGATCATATCACCTTGATAATGACCTCCTAAAGCAAAATAAATCAAAAATATCATTCGTTAGAAACTTCATAAAATTTAGATCTACCCATTTGTTCGGGATTAAGGTTTGCTGATTGTAGAAAATTTTCCTTGAAAAATTGATCTAATATTAGTCACAAGAACCAGTAATTATCTATATTACTTACCAATTTTGGTATTTCTTCATTAGAATATATATTTGCTTTCAATACATCATTATGGTTCTATATTAAAAAAGATATTTCAAAGACAATTCATAAATATTAATATAGTTCCTACTGTTGGTAAAGCTAGTATATTATGAAAGTTATTTGTATAGATAATGAGTATCACAATGTTAATAAAAAGAAAATGCATTTCTGACGACTATCGTGAAAAACAGCAATAACACTTTTTTATATGAACTGATAAAACTTCTAAAGAATTAGAGCCGTTGTAAAAACACTTTAGATTTTTAGACTACTGATCTCTGCTTCTCAAGTTTATAATCGACGATCGTATTCAACCGTATTCAAAAACTCTGCACTGAATAATGAAGATTTTATGTAATCTAGTATGATTTTAAATGATTCTCATCAACAACCATCATAAACGGTTTTTGTATATGATCATGTTTTTGTCACTTATTTTCCTTGTTAGTAATACGATATCTTTATACTCTTATAAACATGTCATATATACAGTTACAAGTTCTTGATTTGTTGTATTTTTTTTCATTTTACATGCTGTTTACGACGATTTTCTTTTTAATTATTAACAACCAACATGATAAGTTTTTTGCGTTGCTAATTCAGAACCGATGCCATAATCGCATTGCACTCTGTAATAACATTTCTAAGTCACTTCCCATGTCGCCTATTTTCTAGCAACTGCGACGCAGTTGCACGTAGCTACGATTTTTTTTCATAACTACGCGTAACTGCGATCTTTTTTCGCAACTGTGCGCAACTACGGCGCAATTTTTCGCAATTACGGATCACAGTGCGATCGCAGTTACGGCGTAACTGCGTCGCAATTTGATCACAATCGAAAATATGGATTAGCTTCAGAGTACTTCAGTGATTTATATCTACTTCGGTCTCTCAAGCATTACTACTAACAGTGATGAATTTGATACGATATTGTATTACTATATACATAAAGCTGAGTAACGTGAGCTGTTTTGGTGTATAGTTTTAAGAAATATTGACTTTAATACGATATCATATAACTTTATTGATAAAGTTGAGTAATTTGAGTTGTTTTGGTGGATTACTTGAATAAGGAGTTACTTCAATGTGGCCTGTTAACACCTGGGATGCTACAAGTGACACTTATCATGCTGTAGGCGGTATGCCCAGTTAGTATCTGAAACACTACAGGTTGATGTATGTCAATACAAAACGATAAACTCAATAAATAATTAATTTTAATAGTAATAGTTATTCGAGACTTCTGAAAAATATTACAGCTCAAATTTCACAAATCTAAGGACATTTACTTCATTCGACCGGGTAACAGGTGTGGGTGTTTGTGTGTGGGGTGTAGGCAAAGGGGAAAAAGCGTATATCTATTCTCTTTCTCGTAGAGAAGAGTCCAGTAAGAATAAATTGTTTGCTTGATTGTGTGTCCGCAGGGTCAAAAAAACATCGAAGTCTGATTTTCAGAAAAAAACGTTTCTAGAGGTATTCCGATGCGGGGGATCCGAATCTGAGGTCTGTTGGGTGACAGGTTGGGGGGGGGGGGGGGGGTGGGGGGGGTCAGAGGTCAAAAAAAGGTGTGGGTGTGGGTGTGGGTGTGTGGGTGTGGGTGGGTGTTGGTGTGGGTGTCGGTGGGTGTGAGTGTGTGTGGGTGTGGGTGTGGGCGTGGGTGTGGGTGTGGGTGTGGGTGTGGGTG